CATATATAAACACTGGTACAAAAATGAAGCTTTTGCCATGAGTTCCTTGTTTTGTACTTGTTTTTGGAAGTGATGAAAGCTGTTTGCAACGATCAACTGCTACATTTTTGTCTTGTTTCAGTTAATTGCTGCAGTTCATATAATTCAGTCCCAGTCACTGGATTTGCTACCTGCTACTCTAACTATTGATCCCCATTTTACATTTTTTAAAGTGATTATAAAGGCATACATTTTTTTAAAATAACAAACATGTCATACTTACCAGGTCTGTGCAATGGTTTTGCACAGAGCGGCCTCGATCGTCCTCTTCTTGGATTCCCTGCTGGTGCTTCTCGCTTCTCCACCAAGTCTAATGCCCCTATAGCAAGCTGCTTGCTCTGGGGGCACTCATGTGTGCTCACCCCCAAGCCCTACTCTGTGTGTCCATAAGACTCACAGAGCGTGGCTCAGCACCTCCCTCCACTCCCTCCTCACTGGCCATGATTGACAGCAGCTGGAGACAATGGCTCCAGCTTCTGTATTTGAGCCAATGAGGAGGGAGAGAGCCGAAACAGCCTCTGTTCTCAGGCACAGCACTAGATTGGGCTCAAGTAAATATTGGTTGGTAGGGGTGGGGGGGTAGCTGCACAGAGGAGGATTTTTACCTTATGGTAGGCCTTGTAAAAAAAAAAGTATAATGGACAGTACTCAATTGTTTCTACCTTACGGTAAAAACCTTCAGCCTTTACAACCACTTAACCACATTAATGATTTAACCATACCTAAACATTGTACATTCACTAAACATTTTTCAGCCCTCTTTCTTTTCTTTAACCCAGTGTGCTCTTATCACCCATAGTTGGCAGCAGTTCTAGATTTCCTCTGGCTCTGGTATTACATATGGCCCCCAGGAGTGGTTACAGTAAGCAGGATGATTGGATAAAGGGTAAGTCCAGTATTAAACTTGGAATCAGTTTAAGGGTTGGGAGGAGACTTAACATCAAGGAGCTAGTTTAAGTTAAAGTTTAAGGTTTGGGAGACTTGGGATGAGTGGAAGTGTAAGGTTAAATTTTTTTCTAATTTTTGATAAAGCAAAAAAAAAAAAATTGACCTCATTTCATGAAATACTATGTTAACCTTTAAATTAAAAAAATAAATTATTAATTGCACATATTTTTGCACAAAAATGTGCATTTATAATTTTTTTACTCTACAGCCTGTGAGCTGGTGCAATGCCAGGATACTGCGACTCTCAGTCAGCCATTTGCCCGTATGGGCAGATAGTTGCTGAAGTATAGAAAGAATCGATGAACTACGAGAGCGCTCACCAGCACCCTCGCAGTTCATTCAGAACTACAAGCCATCTGCCTCAATTGAAGATGGTAGTTGTAGTTCATTCATTCACAGGAAACTGTGAATGAGTGACGCAGCCATGTGGGTGGAGCCCTGCACGAGCACACTGTTTTTGAATTGTGGCATGGGGGGGTGCGAAGAGAGGATCCCCTATAGATTTTGGGTGTGTAAACAGGTGCTCTTAGGTAACATGTTAGACATTACACCCTAAATGCATGTGTAACATGTTACCAAAGGTAAGATTATCCTGGAATGTATTGCTATCTCAGGCTCTATTATAGTGATTTGTATGTGTCTGTGTTGCTATCAGAGAGTTCCACTTCCTGTTGCAGAAGTAAAGGAAGTGAGAGTAATTCTGTAAAAGGACCCTGGACAGCAGTACAATTCTGACAGGGATTTTAATCTTTCCCCTCTCTATCCAAAACTAAGAAAAACGTTTTGGCTGGATATACACTTTAGGCATTAAAGTGATTGTAAACTTTTATATATACCCAGTGAAGCAACTATCCTAAGATGATACAAAGAGATCAAACACATCCTCCTACAAATGTTGTACCTGTTTATCTACAGCTTTCTCTCCTCTGCACAAGTTTAAAGGCCAAATGTATACAGTTTGTCTAAACTTTCAGGAAACAAGGGGCTGGGAGCTGAGGTTACACACTGCAGATTTCAGTGAGGGATGCTCTAAGTTGGTTGGAAAGAAGGCCCCCCCCCCGTCAAACAGCACAAGGGAAGAGAGGTGAGGCTGCTGATCACATGCTGTGTGCTGGAGATCCCTCCTCTTTTTATTTCTTGGTTTTAGAAAAACTTGTCAGAAGTGATTCATGTAAATAGCAGAGGAATGAGGCAGCAGAGAGAAATTACACTTATTTCCCTAGATGAAGCCAAGTACACTATAGAAGAGTGTATTTTGTTGATATTTCATATATTAGTATTACAAACATTTCAGGCGATTGGGTTGGGGGTATAACCTAATTTACCTTTTCTGAATAAAGCATTTTACTTAAAGTGATTGTAAAGTCTATTTTTTTATAACAAGCATGTTATTCTTACTCGCACTTTTCAATAGAATTGCATGGAGTGGCCCTGATCTTCCTCTTCTGGGGTCCCACACTGGCTATCTTGGCTCCTCCTCCCTTTCTCGGTCTGTAACCATAGGAAGTGTCTTCCTATGGTGGCACACCTGCAGGCTCAATCCTGAGTCATGCTGTTTGCATGCATAAAGGCTGAAGTTTTTTTACCTTCCTGCATTCTGTGCATGAAGGTAAAAAACCTTCTATATGCTGCTTCCCCCATAGCACCCCCAATATTCATCTGAGCCCCATCTCTATGCAGTAATGTGCATGGGAGCCTTGGCTGTCTCAGGTCTCCCTCTCCTCATTGGCTGAGACACAGCAGTAGGAGCCATTGGCTGAGACACAGCAGTGGGATCTGTAGCAATTGTACGTACAGAGATGGACGCGGTCATCCATCTTGCTAAAGATCCCCCATCTTGTATCATCCTCTCTTCCTCCAATCCCCCCTGTATGTATGCTGAGATCACAGGCATCAGGCACAGCAGGGATAGCTTCATGGTTATAAACCCCAATTAGCCTGGGCCCAGTATGTATGTGAGACTCTTGCTTGGAGGTGATCGTAAAGCTATAAACCAGTCCTTCACTGAACATGAAAGACATTCCAGATAGCCGTAAAACAGACATCACATTTCAAACCCACTTTTCCATATAATTTCATATCTTAAGCTAGGAAATAATTACAATGAAGCAAAGCATATATTCAAATAGCTCAGTTTAATGCGAGTCGCCTGATATCTTACACCCCTAGTTGAAGTCTACAGATGAGTAGAGAGCCACATAGTTCTAGTTGAAATAGTGAGGTATGGCATATTTGATGTCGGAACGTTCAGGATATCATTCTGCATATTAATCTACTAGTGGCTAGGCTGCTACATGCACCTTGGGAAGGTTATTGACCATGATATAAACTGAGAGGGATTTGCTCATAGCCTGAGTTCCCCGCCTAAAACACCCCTCCCCAAATGAGGCGATTGGTTCTCTGCTTTAAGGAGACACCCTGCTAGGTTCCTAGAAAAAGGCTGTTTTGCTTGGAGCAGTAAGATGAGAGATCTCCCTTTTAACATCAGGAACCAACTTGGGAGACCCTTTTGTTCAGGAAACTTGATCTGCTTAAACCAAGGCTGACGGCAAGTATTCTACCTCTCTAAACTTCTTTCTGTTATCTCTCTGTTGTGGTATTGCTCTCTGTATGTATATATATATATATATATATATATATATATATATATATATATATATATATATTGGCTACATCTTTTTCTGTAAATATTTTTATTGCACCATTTTGACCTTTTTAGTAATAAATCCTATTTTCTGAAAAGTGTTGAACTGTTTTCTAAAGCTCTTTAATGCAAACTAAGAATCCCTGTCTCTGAAGAGAGCTACTGTGTGTTTTTAAACCTCTATATACATCTGCCTGCGGTGACAGTGTGTATACAGACGATTATTCAAACATCATAGTGTTATTGCTAATATTGGCAAGTTTCCTCCTTCTCTGTACAAAAAGGCGGTGGTGGCAGTGTGAAGCGTTAATTGCATAATTAACCTGACCCAGTAACAATCACTCTCAGGCTGCAGGTACATAGATTGTGGTCCATTCTCTGGAAAATCTTTGTGCAGGGTGCAGCTGAGCGTGGCATTGTTTTGCACATGACAGCGTGGTTTATGATTGACTAGTCCTTCGGTCACGAGTTGGTGAGAAGGGCTGGGGGTCTGACGCCGCGACCATCACAGGGTCCATTGGATTCCACTGTTGTCAATCACAGCCAGTGAGCTAATGAGGAGAGAGTGGGGGGGGTGCCTGAGCCGCAGCTCTGTGTGTCTTATGGACGCATAGAGTGGGGTTCAGGAGTGATTGGTGGCACTGGTCAAGGGAAAGGAGCCAGGAGTGCCGGTGAGGGACCCAAAAAGAAGAGGAAACCATTGTACAGAGTTAGTACGTTTTCTTATTTAACCACCTCCAGACCGGACACTTTTACCCCCTTCCTGACCAGGGCAATTTTCAGCTTTTAGCGCTATCACACTTTGAATTTGAATTTCAATTGCGCAGTCATGCAACACTGTACCCATATGAATTTTTTACCTTTTTTTGAGACAGATAAAGCTTTATTTTGGTGGTATTTATTCACCACTGGGATTTGTATTTTTTTTGCTATGTAAATGAAATGTCCAAAAATTTAGAAAAAAAGTGTTTTTTTTTATAAAATTTTGCAAATAAATAATATTTCATCATAAATCTTTGCCAAAATTTATTCCGTTATCTTTTTAGTAAAAAATAAAAAAAAAATCCAAATTAGTTTATAACCAAAAATTATAATTTTTTAAATTTTTGCTTACATTTTTATTTATTTATTTATTTTTTTTACATACTGTCACCCTAGCAGTACAGTGTCACCATGGTGACACTGTACTACTTGTGGGGGGGAGGAAGATTTTTTTTTTTTTCTACACTGATTGCTTTTACACCCATATAGGATGTAAAAGCAATCATTTCTCTTTCTCTCTGGCTGCATTCTTGCACTCATTGAGAAGTACTGAGTGAGCTGTGATTGGTCACAGCTTGTCACATGGTACAAGGCTTTTGTGAATAGCCTTGTACCATGTGACCTCTGTGATCATTCACAGATTTCACACGTAGTAAGCAATGATATCAGAAGTGACATCTTGCTTACTACTTTGCATGTGATCACTGATTTGCCAATCAGTGATCACATGATCGGGACCTCGTACAGAGGTCCTGTCCGACGATCGGTGTTTCACTGTGTCTGGAGGACACAGCGGGCACCGGATCGCGGTGCTGCGCACTCCCAGGGAGCGCGCACAAGCAGGGTGCGGGGGAGGCCGTTTATAAACGGCCACCCAACCCTGCAGTGCCACCATCCGGCCGTTTATATGCAACGGCCGGTCGTGAAGTGGTTAAAAAAAAACAAAAAAAAAATCTTTAATATCACTTTAAGTGCTAATTCTTGCAGTACAACAACCATGTATGTTGTGCTGGTCTGACTTCAGCAGTTAGGGTGCAGATATTTGGATGGGTACATGTAAGCGGGAGGTGCTTGTTCTGAAATACATTGTGGTTCTGCATATATATTTTTTTTATTTATTTGTTGCAGTCAGGACAAAAAAAATCAGTTTAAAATGTATAAAAATTTAAATTTTCAGTAAAATCAATTAAAAGCCTTAGCTTCCTGTTTAATCTAACCTGCACTTTACATTTGTGAATGTGTGATTGTATTTATTGGAAGAATGTCATCCCTTTATCTGCACTGTGTTGTGGAAAGAGTCCAGGAGCTTCAATTTTCAGCCCTTTAACAGTGTCTCCCTGTTCCATGAATCAGTGTTTTTCTTTATGACAGGGAATTCCGATTTTATCTAGTTTGTTTCTCATATATTTAATTTATGTTTTTCAGAAGTACTTACTGCTTTAGGCCAGCTTGTATTTGTGCATCATATTATCATTACAAATTAACTATTTTACAATAAATGTATGTTTCTTTTTATTTTTGATGTTCTTGGGCTTTTTAAAACATTTTCAACATACAGTAGCCAGGTAGTGGCACAACAAACATGTAGTATTGGTCAAGATGTATAGAAGTTACGCAATGTAGCAAGTTCATACAGAAAGGATTGTCATACATGACCTAATTTTTTCTTTTTTCAAAGTTGATTGCCTAGCGTACCAAATCTCTATCTATCTATCTATCTATCTATCTATCTATCTATCTATCTATTTATCTATCTTTTTAATCTATCTATCTAATCTATCTTTCTAATCTGTCTAATCATTAGTAATTCTGTCCAGCCACTTTTGTGATTTATTTAGCTTCGCCAGACAGCACAAGCAAGAAGATGAGACCACCTTGAATGGAGTGCTGTCACCCCCTGCCTGCAGCATGCTTGTTTTAACCACTTTCCCTCCACAAGATTTACCGCCTTTCCTGACCAGGCCTTTTTGTGGGATACGGCGCTGCGCTACTTTAGCTGACAATTGCACGGTCATGCAATGCTGTACATAATAGAAATTTGTCATTTTTTCCCACAAATAGAGCTTTCTTTTGGTAGTATTTGATCACCTCTGCGTTTTTTATTTTATGCATTATAAACAAAAAAAAACCTGACAGTTTTGAAAATAAAACAATATTTTTGACTTTTTGCTATAAATCTTATCCAATAAAAAAATTTTAAAATACAATTTCCTCATAACTTTAGGCCAAAATGTATTCTGCTACATGTCTTTGCTAAAAAAAATCCCAATAAGTGTATATTAATTGGTTTACGTGAAAGTTATAGCATCTACAAATGGCAGTGAGCAGGAAGGAGTTAACATCTGCAGCAATTAAAGGGTTAACTGTGTGTTATGGAGTGTTTTTATTGTGTACTGTGTGCTGTTTTAGTAAACAGACCTGCTGCTTTCTATCTCTCTGCTGTGCAGAGTTCGAAAGCAGCATGTCCATGCTGACAGGGGAGAGATCTGTTTTGTTTACACAGAGATCTCTCCCCTCAGCTTCGCCAACGATCACCTAGTCCTGTCCAAAAATCGACGGCTGGTACCCGGCGATTGGCATCCTCAGAAGCCAATAGCAGCAGGGGTAGTGCGTGCCCCCCACCATGTGATTTAGCTGGGCAAAATCTCGTGATTTTGCCAAGCGAAGCCGCCTCGTAGCAGTACATCTGCTATGGGGTGGTGGGCAAGTGGTTAATCAATGATTGATGCTGCTCATCATTGTGCTGCAGCTCCTTTCTCTGTCCTGTCACAGGCTGGGGAGGGTTCAGAATGACTCGGTCTCTGAGGAAGTTGGTTGAATGATGCAGGCTGATCAGATTGAGGACCTCTAGTGACCGAAATAAATTACTGCAGTGAAATCTCTGGTAGACATTGCACCAAAAGCTAGTTTTGTTATTTTAATTTTGACTGAAGTTTTGCTTTAATGATTTTAAAAGAATACACAACTGCATTAAATTACATTTTTAATCTGTCTGGAGTTCAGCTTTAAAAGTAACATTCAATACAGTGTGAGATGGGGAAACAACTCTCATTGTTTGAACACTGTGTGCAGTAAAATATGGTGTGGAGTAAATTGATGTTTTGACTGACATTCTGCGGTTTAGCCACAAGATGTCACTGTTTTTCTAACACAGGATCAGACTGCATAGATATTTGTATATTCATGAAGAGGTGGGGTTTTTAGTGAACAGGAAGAGGAGACTGCAGTCATGTGTTGGACGATGCTGAGTGCAGGAGCCATGTTCTGGAGAATGCTGAATGAAGGGGCCGTGTGAGCTGCAGCTGGGTGAAGCTGATGAGATTGCTGCCAGGAAGCTGATGAGAGCCGAGAAACAACGCAGCATACACTACAATATCGCAGGCCTGTTGGAGAGACATTTAGTCTGTTCAGAGTCACCAGCGGATGTAAAGCAGACACGGGTTGGTAAGATCGTGCATGCACCTCATTTCAGTGTTGGCGCCTTGAGACTGAATCCAGGCCTATAGTTAGTTAGTTAGGGTCTCTGTTTGTGTCAGGCCACAAGTGTTGTTACTGATTATTGGAAGGACTCCACAACTTAAAGAGACATTTCACATTGGAGATCTGATAAAATCCTACAAACTCAAGCCAGACTGGCGTTTTGCTCAGAAGGAATACTCAGGCACGTGCTACAGGACCAGTTATGGGAGAGGGAATACTGTAGATTTGTGTAAGATTGTAAGCTGTTGTGCTGCACCGCAGGCTAGCCCATACCATACACCCTATACACTGATTCCTGCTCTTTTAGGGTAATAACAGGTAAGGTGTGGCAGCTTATTTGTGCCCGCCAGTAGGTAAATTACTTCACTTTCTACCTTCATCCATCAGAAGGCGCTGTGCTGTGCAGCACAAAGGTCTCAGCCTTTGGGCTGGGTGTATGTAAATTTATTGTATGTTTCCAGCATTTGTGTTTGTGTTTATCTGCCATATCTAAGTAAAATTCTGTTGTGGCAAAAGCTGGTGTCGGGTTGCTTTCCTCGTTCATGACTTCACTGTATTCTGGGGACCCACCCCGGTACACGGCTTACAACTGACCACATATTGCCACTGGTGATGTTTGATAATGTTATCACTAGGCTGTCAGATTTTCTTCCCAGAAGAATAATGCCAAATCAATCCTGATTAGATGATCAATGCTACAGTAAGTATCCACGCTGATCTCTTCAAATCACTGCAGATATGGACAGAGCGTTAATGGGTAGTCCACCACCCAAATGAAATATACTGTATGTCCTGCTTACATATCATTTATATAGTATTTCCTATTAGTTTCTGCATAGCAAGGATGTCCACTTATTAATCAGTGGATCAGTGTCTGGGGTGAGCTCTGGATATGGATGTATTACGTCACATCGCAATGTTCATGGCTGAATGGTGATAATGTCATATACAGACAGATATTGAAGATAAATTACAATGACATCTAATTAAAGGATTCCCTTGGATGCAGCAGAACTGTCAGTGCAGAAGTGAATTTCAATCTCTTCCTGTTAGTATGCAGATATTTTGCCTGTTTCTTATTCTAAATTGATTTGTGTGAGAAATGAGCAAGTATCAGGCATGTATGAGTTGAATGATTCCAGCATGATCTCCTGTGTATAACTCTCCTATTGTTAATGTATTTGTGCAAATTGTTCGGTGCTTTCTCATGCAGTGTTAAATAGCCTCTTCCACTGAAATATTGAGTTTGCAACAAGCATCTGTATGGCACAAGGACACAGAAAAGTCTACTTCTATTTCTTAGCATTTAGAAGAAATCGCTGTATTTCCATTTTAACTGAGAATGCTGCACTTGGCTAAATGTGAAATTGGATCTGAAACTCAATAACACTGATAGCAGAGGGAGGAGGGAGGAGGTGTTTTCTGGTCTGTGGAGAAAACCTGCAATTAATTGTACATTATGAAAATTGTTCAATACTTTAGTCAGCCTATTTCTGGACATTGACACTAAGATGTATTCCCCAGTATGTCTGGGAAATCTTTTCCCTTCATTTGTCATAGTGTCTTATCTACTATTGAACTTTGAGTCACCCATCTACATAATGAATGCAGAATAGGTAAGTGTTTAGCAGAATTACATTGATATTCTGGTTTATAATTGAATTTACAACCATTCCTGTGTATTTGAGATATACACACAGTTTAAAGCTGAAGTCTAGCTAAGTATCCACCCCCAATAAACTTTTTTTTCCCACCACCTTTAACTAATCCACTGTTAGTTTAAAAAAAAAATCTTGAAGGCCCCTTTCAAACGACCATTCTGGTTGGGTCCACCAGTCCATTTTTCAGACAGATCTGATAGGGTCCTCCATTCTGCTCTATGGAGCGGCAGGTGTAAATTGACAGACCCACTTTTAAGCAAGCGTAGTCTGCCCTGTCTGGGGCCTAAAAGAAAAGATTATTGGCCAAATTATCAGACAGAGAGTAACGGTAATTTCCAGCTGTCACACACCTTTTGGAGATCGAGCAGGAGAGGGGGATTCTCTTGCAGCTCTTGTCCAACACCCCTGGTAGTGGTAACAGGAGGTGTGAGGACACAGATTGGCTTGAGGGCCAATGTAGCGTCAGCTCTTGGTTGCAGGGTACAGATGACCGTGGATTACCAGACAGGGACCAGAGGCTGCAACATGGTGACTGCTGGTGCCCAGTGATTACTGAACATCTCCAACAGGGAGGAAGAATGTTTTGTTTTGTCAATTTGGGCACACTGCTCTGGATAGCTATTCACAGCACAGCCATCCAGAGCAGTGTGCTTACAGTGAAGCACACACCCCCCGCCCCCTAGTAAAACACTCCCTACACATAGGTAACCCTTTTGATCACCCCTCATATTAACCCCTTCCTGACCAGTGCCATTAGTACAGTGTCAGTGCTTTTTTTTGGCACTGATCACTGTATTGGTGTCACTGGGTGACACCAAGTCAGTTCCCCCCAGTGTCAGAATGTCCGCTGATCGCCCCCATTACTAGTAGAAAAAAAAATCGCAGTATCTATGCCGCCATTTGTAAATGCTATAACTTTCACGTAAACCAATTCATTTACACGTATTGGGATTTTTTTTTAGCAAAGACATGTAGCAGAATACATTTTTCCATACATTTATGACGAATTTAGATTTTTTTAATTTTTTTTACTGGACATGTTTAATAGCAAAAAGTAAAAAAAATAGTTTATATTCGCCCCACCCACAGGGCGTTCTCATTCTGCTTGAGAACGCCCTGCGGGTGGGGTGAAACGCATCGACGCACTTCCGGTCTGCCGTCTTGACGTCCCGTTGGTGGAAGAGCGGCATGGGGGGGGGAGAAGATGGGGGAATGGGGGGTGAAGGGGTAACATGTGCCCAAAGATAGGCTTTAATAACTATGACATTTATTTGTCAGAAAGATACAACATCTAAAATATACTGGAGCGTACAAAAATCTGGTGCAGCTCTGCAAAGAAAAAAATCAGGTTTTATTGTCAAAGCTTTTATTGAACAAGCTGAAGTTAGAACCTGATTGGCTACTATGCACAGCTGCACCAGATTCTGCACCAGTTTTAGAAAATATTCCCCACTGTATATGTAAAATTACATATTATTATTAACTGTGCCTGTTTTATGTTTGAATGCAATTTTAACGTACAGCCAGGCAGGTGGCACCATGACCGGGCTCCCATGATGAGAATGGGAGGAAGCTGGTCTCTAATGCCCTCCCACTACTGTCCATTCGCACAAAATGAAAGTCATTATGCACTGTACTGTTTCTTACATATTTAAGACTGCTTCATGTGCAATTAGACAGGAGTGGGAGGGCATTAGAGATCCCCTTCTTCTCATTCTCATCATGGGAGCCTAGTCACCCCCCACCCATGAAAGTCAGATCTCTCATAATATTGCACAGTGAAAGCAGATGAGTTATCTGGCTCTCATTATTATCTTTGTAAACTCACTGAAGTACAGTCTTATCTTGACAAGTGGTTTGCTGGGGAAACGGGGTTGTTATTTGAGAGGGAGAAGCCAGGAGTACTGGTGGGGTACCACAGAAGATGAAAACCAGGACTGTTCTGTGCAAAACCTTTACACAGAGCAGGTAAATATAACATATATAATGGTTTAATATCACTTTAACCTAAAACAGAGGCTGCAGGGGGTGGTATACATTTCCGAAGAAAAATGTTACTCTCGGTTGTATTTGGTGGACAGTACTGCTACTAAACAAGGCCCACAACTGTGTGCAATGTAGGTTGTTGTGGCACTGCGTTGGGGCTTTTCAGGGTAAAACTGGCGATATATTAAGGCAACATGTCACTTCCCTTCGAAAATTGATGCACCGATTGCATTTCAGTGGGACGGCAAGGGCTGCCGTCACTGTAAACAGGCTCTAACAACCTTGTAGATGAGAAAAAGGAGAGAAGCGCCTCTAAGTGCAATAAGTCTTTTAATTCAAGTCTAAATGTAGAAACACTCACATGTGTGAAGTAATCATAAGCTTAAAAACCGTGGTTAACAATAGTTAACGGTGGGGTGGTAACCCGGGTGAAGAGCCGTCATCTTACTGCGATGTGGGGAGGTCAGCTCTCGGCTGGAACAGCGTGGTGGCTGGAGGGGAACAGCAGTGAGGCCGGCCGGCGTGCACGTTCTCCATCCAGCTCTGAGGGAGGACGTGCACGCTGGCCGGCCTCACCGCTATTCCCCTC